GGAGGTAAAGGAAATGTCTTAATTTCATTGGTAGATAATATCGTCTGTTATTGCTGTGGTTTAGAAATTATTGAATCTGATTGGTAGTGGAAACTATGACAATATTTGCAAATACGTTTACAATGGTCTTATAATTGATGTCCGAGCTTTCTCGTCCTAGCCGAAACAGGCGAGAGGGCACCGTACACATCACACCTCGTAGAGACTTACGGAAAAGTACGAAAATTTGGCCGAACATCAAGAGGACTTTATAAGTACAGTTCATTGAGGTGAAGGCAACGTCTTGTGTCCTAGAGATGAAAGACGGTATAGGATCTTTGCTTATTTCTTGCACCTTACCACCCCCTGCACCCTGCAACCCCACCGCCCTGAAACCGTTAACTAATCCCCCAATTATACAATTATTGACTCACACTCAAATTTATGAAGAGAAACTCAGCTGAAAAGAACCTTAAAAGCTATTTCTTTTTATTTTAAAGAAATGTAAGAATTATTCGCTGGATTATTTAGATAATTATGAACTTCATCTTCACAATGTCAAGCTATAACAAACTTCATCTTATACCTTGACTGCAATAGGCATCTTTCTTGGATCACGAACGTTTGTAATAGCATTGGTTTGATTGGATTGAACGTCAGCGAATACAACCAATCCCGACAGAAAGTCATAATGTTTAGAGTCTTTCTGTCGATGGCTCTGATTGGCTGTATTCACTGGCGTGCAATCAAAAAAAAAAACGATTCATTTTATTGCAAAAAATGTGATTATTGAATATTGAAGTCAAGGTAAGAATGTGCGGGAGTTTAACGTTAATCTGAGTCAAAATGAGACAGCCATACCGATATCTCTCTGAAATACTGCAACATGTTGAATTCGTTAAGTAAATAGTTCGCAAACATCACTTCCGGTTAAACTGGAAAAATTCTGACCAGTAAACCCTTCCGAATACGAAGTATTTTTTCGTTTATCAAGACAGTACATACATGGACATTTATGATTGGTCAAAACTCTTAATTATATGCAATAAGAACATAATGATATGATTAAGAATACATGATAATTCATTAGAAACATCAATTAATTAAATAGTTTGCTTTATTTGTCACTATAAATTACGGAAACCCATCTTTCACAGACCTTTCACATGGCTCAATGGTCCTCCACCTAAACACACTACTGTAACCATGTATAAGTTTCAAACCGAGTAATATTTCTGGTAACGTGTATGTGCCCCTATCTTAGCTTTGTTAAGTTACTACAAAATATGTCCATGTACCGAAGAAATCTGTGAGAAAATTGGTTGTAGAATTGTGGACTGAACTCCAAGCCTTTATTGACAGAATTTACTATCTTTAATACCTTGTAAACTGTGCCTCTGTAGGGTTATATTGTTTGTCCTCGATACCCTCACTGGACGATCGAGACATGTTTGTTTTCTATTAACCAGGATTTAGAAGACAAGATCAGAGCCAATAAACTTCAAGCGAGTCGTACTATTTCTACGACGTTAAGAGTTTTGGTATTTTTCGGCAAGACGTATCGGAATTCAATTTAACTAACACAGCACATCCCATTTTGTCGGCAGGGATGACCCCCCAAATATTATCTTTTCGGGCAGTGAAAAACCTCGGGCAGAGTAGTGTTTTCGCGCATTCAAGGCTCGGAGTAATGTTTCGCCGGACATCTCTTCCTTTCATAATTTTCGGGCAAACCAGGCTGCCAAAAGCACCACGCCCTGCCCAAACAAGCCGTCGGCCTGTGCGCCTATGCGAAGCTGAAAGCGCAAAGTTTTCGCGCCCCTTTTGCATGTAGGCCTAACTAGTTTAAACGTGGATTCAAATTGCCGAATTCTCTTCATCACTTACTAGATGTCTTGTATCCTTGTAACAGTAATTGTATATTTGTTCACCACTCTACCGAACAAATATAAAACTTAGCGTATTAACCCCAAGTTCATTTTCTGTTTAAACTGCTACAAATGATTACAGACGAGCAAATCTTGTAGAGTACATGACAAGTTTAACCACCATCCCTTAAGTCTTTCTCATGATACAGACATAAATAAATTTGTTTGCACCCATTGAAATGACCCGGATCACGACCCCCCCATTTAAATTTACGATTTGTATTGTCTTATACCCCAGCCCTGTCTCTATTTTAGTTTTTTTTAATAATACTTGAATAAATTATATACATAAAAGAAAGCACCAATTCAAATGACCCTAGACATGAAATGTTTACCCTTAACTTGGAATGACCTGGGACACGACAATTAAAAGGGATTGTTAAGAGGTTTCTAAGAAAAAAATATGTGTATCGGGGACATCGATAGCACACTTTTCTTTAGTGACGTCATTAAACACTTATTTTAGTGGAATTGCAGGAACCACAGTAGACGTCTGACTAAAAATGTAAATTGCTGCTATCAGTGTCCCGATACACATAACAAAGTTAAAAAACCTGTTAACAATCCCTTTAATACA